TACTGGTTTGGTATATATATGTTGGTTTGGTATGCATGTGGTTGCCCCCATTCCGATAGCTTATCTGCGCCTATCACCAGAATACCTCGTGGCTGATCTCAGCTCTTCACCCCTGGCGTGGCCTGTCGCGACATGCCTGCTTACACCGTGCGCAATGTGGGCGGGCGAGGCTGCGCGAGGGATACATGCGATGGCTCTCCGGGCGAGCAGAGCACCATGCCCCCGAGGATGGTGGCAGTTGACGAATGAGAAGAAGACAACGACAAGGATGGCAGTGAAAAAAAAACAGGGTAAGATCCGCCACGAAGACTAGGTCAGCACCGACACAGGTCAGCAGCAGATAAAGGACGTCATACAGAGCCGAGGCAACTGCCTCAGATCAATGAGCCGGCAAAAAGTGGGGCTAATCAAGCGCCACCTGCAGGCTAATGTGTAGCACGCGCGTTATGCACGCGCGATTAAGGGTGGCTGTAGTGGCGGGAGAGGCGATAGTCTCTAGTGATTTGGGAGAAAGCTATCTGATGTAGATAAGGCAGTACTAATAGTAGGCAATACCCCGTACAATAACCAGGAGAATGGAGAGATAGATGCACTGATATTTCGGCTACATGCCCTTAGCGAAAAAAGTATCAGTAGTAAGCTCAAGGTTGCCCGACAATCCTAAACGATTTTTCGGCTGTTTTAAATAGCGAGCCACGGTTTTTGCAGGTCACGAATACTCAAGGGATTAAGCAGGGAGCAACTGCTAGCCAATACCACGATAAAGTTCATATCCAGCTGAGAATCAAAGTATACAAAAGTGCGCGTGCATGCAAACAAATTCAAGTAAACAAGCGTCCCGAATTACGCATCATCCATGCATGCAAGCGATGCCAACATGCATCAGGCATCACGCACCACTTCTGCAAATCATTTCAATTAAACAGACTTCACGCATCATGCGTCAAGAACCATTCATACACGTAAGAGATTTTTAGCTAGTACGTGTCACACATCAAGGCGTTAATCACATTCGCATAATCGGGCATGATTAGCCCTGTACGTTAAGGTGTAGTCGCCGACTTCTTATAAGAATAGATTCATCTATTTTCCTGTCTGGATGGCCCTGTACTCTGTGCATGACTCTGAGCTCTAAAAGGGTCAAGGGTCCATATCTTTCTGACAGGCAATTTCGAATTGGCTACTGATGTTCTTTTCGATAAAGGCATATAGCCCACACTACAATGCACCCACCTCCCCATTCTCCTGGTTATCATACGAGAGATAAGCCTATTAGTACCGTCTTACCTATATGCGTAACGTTTCTCGCAAATGCGTTTAACAACTCACGCAATTAAGAAAGATAATCGTTGGTAGTCCTGTGCGCCGCGCAGGGTTTTGTTGGACACGTCTCAGCATACCATCATGAGCCCGCCTGTTGTGTACTGGCGGAGGGGCAGGGAAAGCGGGCGTGACGTATCATCACAGCTGCTGCCGTATCTTTGGTGGCAAAAGCACGACATCGCTGCGGTGCACGGAGACCTGGCGGAGACCTTCGCGACTGACGCCGGAGACCTTTCTCCGGCGACTGACGCCGGAGACCTTTCTCCGGCGACTGACGCCGCTGATTCATGTCAGAGTACCTGGTCTACAGAAGGCGCCCCTTTCCACGTGTGGGTGTGCATTTACACCCCCGGCCGATAGTGCTCTCGCAGCTACATCGTGCGCGTAAGATTGCACCTTCTGCGAACAAGTAATTGTGGTCATCATATTATGGTCATCCCTCTTCGGCTGGGCCGACCGTAGTTAGCTAGGGGCGATTTGAACAAAAAAGATCCTATCGACCGATGAGATATTTCCATTGGCGACCGATAGTGCCTCCACAAGGGCATGGTGCGCCCAATTTAGCGCACAGGTAAAAGTATTATACATTCCACGCCGTATCCGTGCGAATGGGTGCTCCGGCCTGGCCCATTCCCTGAGTAAAGCACCGTCTTGGGGTCGGCAGAACAAAACCGAAACAAAGTAAGACGAGTGTGTTGTACTGACAGATCATAGCCCTTTTCCATCGTTATGGAATGCACACGGTCGCAATTTTCTGGTTTGATTATAAAAACATTGCCGGGGCGCCTTATCATGGCAAATACTCTAGGGGTAGGCAGGTCGCAGTTAGCCACGCGCCGTCAAAAAAAGGGCGATTTGAAAAAAGGCTATGTCGGCCGCAGAGTGATTTGCACTGCCGTTCGATAGTGCTCCCATAACAATATTTGCATGCAAGGGAACGCCTTCCGCGCAGAAGTAATATTTCAATTTGGACGCCGCATCTGTGCAAAATCAGCCACCGGGCGGCCCCCAAGCATTGCAGAATATGCTGTTCGGGGTGGATCGAATGGAATCGGCCCCCAAGCATTGCGTAGTATGCTGTTCGGGGTGGACCGAATGGAATCGGCCCCCAAGCATTGTGGAGTATGCTGTTCGGGGTGGACCGAATGGAATCGGCCCCCAACCATTGTGGAGTATGCTGTTCGGGGTGGACCGAATGAAATCGACACCAAAGCTGACGAGTTTGTTGTTCTGCCAGTTGACATCCCTATACCAACGCTAGCGAACCGCTTCAGGCTGGCCCGCAGAACGGAGTAGCATGGTGTCAGCCGAGTAGACTAGAAACTCCAGCCCGACGCGAGTGTCGTACTCACTGCTGATAGCCCTATGTTGGTGCTTTTCGAATGCACACAGTTGCAACAGTCCTGCTCAAATGTAGATATCTTTCCCAGCCCGCCGTATCATGACTGTCACTCTAAGGGCGGGCCGGCCGCGGTCAGCTGGGGACTATTTGAACGAAAAGGGTGCTATCGGACGATACGAGATTTACATTGTCAGCCAATAACGTTTGTTTTTTACATTGTCAGACGATAGCGTCTGCACGCTCGCATTGTAAATGCATGGTTTCGCCTTCTACGCACGAGCAAATGCATTTTAAACTAAAAACGCCTCTTCTCAGTTTGATGCTGCGCTCGATCCGCCTTCATCGATTGATACGAAATCGGGTTGGACGAATAACTTGATTCCCAAGTTGGAGAAGTGTGTCGAAATGACAGATGACAGCTTTATACCACTGGTATCGAATGCATACATTCGCACTCTTCGCGCGAGACAGTAAGTTTTCTTTTGGGGTTGTTGTACTCTGGCCATCACGCGAAAAGCAGGCCGAACGCAATGCACTAAGCGCCGCCAAGGGGTGCTTGTAACAATAATGTCATGTCGCCCAACAAGTGATGTCCATTACCGGCCGATAGTTCTTCCATACTAACACAGTGTGCTAAAGGCTGCACCTTCCGCACACAAGGCCGCCGTAGTATGGCCATCACACTAAGTGCATGTCGGGTGCAGGGAGCTATCCGCCTCGAAGGGGTGATTTGAACAAAATGAGTCATGTTGGACGACGAGAAACTTCTATTGACGGCTGGCGGCGTTCCCACCATGGCATGGTGTGCGCAAATATGCACCTTTCACGTAAAGGTATTAAAGAATGGTGATGAGTGTAAAATTCGTGCAGTGCTTTATATGTGAAACATAAATGTGTTGTTTTATCCTTGGTGCGTGCATTGTTCCGCAGAAAGTTATTGTGGATCTGCGGTTGCATTTTATTTATACTGAACGTACTCCGAAAGTACGTTCAGTACGTACGAAAGTACGAAAGGACGTTCAAAGAAAGAAAGAAAAAAAGTGCTCGGTACATTAAGGTCAGAACAGCACCATCGGGTATTAAGGGAAAGACATCGTTGTCGTACAATGTTTTTTTTTTCGCAGGGGAAGATACAATTACAAATAACTTGAATGGAATGACATGAAGTGAGAGTTCTTAACAAGTCCCTGACTCAGCTTAAACGCATTGCAGCACTTGTTTCGTAGCATGGCCACAGCAGTTGGCGATTAACGTTGAAAAAATGAAGGGGACATTGATTCACTATTTTGTTCTGACATTACACGATACATCATAAAAGCAATGTTATTTCAGTCATAGCCCTTCAACGTTTGACGCCTATATTCATTCGGTATCTCCTGCATGTCAAAAGCGGGTACCAAAGTAACAGTGTACTAACATTTCACTAAGCATGAATATCATACACAGTCAATGTTATGCCCACGATACTGAAATTGAGTCGTGCTTCATTGTATACTTTTATACGTTACACAGAAACTTTCATCTAACATCCTTTACGATATCGGTCCAATCTGGCAACTATATATTTCTAAAACATTCGATATCAACATTCCATCATAGACTCATAAACACTTTTTAATGCTCGATCGGTGTCGGCACAGCAAAATGATCGTGCATGGCTATTACACCTAGTGTTATGTCAACGCTATAGCAATGTAGTTGCGCTGATGAGGTCACCGCTATTGGCTTTTATACCTTTTCGACAGTTCGCCCTTTATGTTTGCCGACGTTCATCTCTTTCGACTAGTTGCGATCAACTTTTTCGCTCTGCTTCGTCCGGGAACTGGTTTACTCGGAACACGCGGCACCGAAACTAAGTGAGTTACCCGAACGGGCTATTGTACTAGATATGACATAATGGTTGACATCGGCATGCTCGACATGCTTGAATGATTTGTAGCCTTTGGTGCACTAATGCCCAGCAGTCGTCAGCAGAAGCAGAAGTGTACCCACTTGCATGCGCGTAGTTTCGCGAAATGAGTTGGGAGTCTAAACAGTGAAGAACTACCCAGCCTTACTCCAAAATATGCCAACACGCAGGCTTCTATCCAGATTTAGCTCACTTCCTTTCCACAATTGAGGACTGGAGTCCAAGTTGGGAGGCTTAAGCCCCCTCAAGATAAATGGGAAATGCCACCTTTGGCTGCTTGCAAAAAGAAGTCGGCCGTCAGTTTCGCTGAAACTTTGATGATCGGAAACTTTGCCGGCCCAAAGAAACGTGGCGAGTTGGTAGCATTTGGTAGCTGAAGTTATTTTTCAGCTGATGGGTAAACATGACGCGCAGGTCGCAGTCCCCGCATCCGATGAGGACGCGATTGTGATTCGCGTGTGTTCGTTAGGGTTGTCGATTCGAGTGTTGTCGCTTGAATTCATAGAAGCTGGGAGAGAGCGACATTTCGGAAGTCGCGTGCTCAGCTTCCTGAAGTGGTTAGCCGGTGGAGGCGTTTTGCTTTGGTGTATTTGACACGATGAGTCGATACATTCAACTTACGCTAGCGGTGTGCGTCTTCATTGTCCAAACTGATGTTTCATTTTCGTTCTACCTTCCGGGTTTGGCACCGGTTAACTACTGTGAGAAGGAAAAAGAAAGTGAACGCTGCAAGGTAATTGCTTGGTGTGTTGGTGTGACTGTTTTTACCTGCATGTGGGACAGTATCTGAAATATGGTTTGGGCACTTGGGGGAGAGAACAAAAATATTAAAATATCCCAAGTGAATTTGCAATACATTCATGGCTGGCACTAAAGGACATTCCTTGGCAGCAGATGACAGTAAACATGATGTTCAAGCTGGTCTCAGTGATTGCCAAAGACCATTAGAAATTGGCTGTTTGCAGTTCCTAAGATTGCTGGCTTCCTAAGTAGGTGGTTCCTAAGTCTATGCCTGCACCTACTGTATTTTTTAAGCAATGAAGCTGATAGAAAGTTGTTGATATTGATAATTCTATTGGAAAGGTGTCAGTCCCAATAAAGGCTGATAGAAGCACATGCTTAAAATGCTGTTCACCTGTTGCACCATGCCTGCTAACACATAATGCTAAGTTTATGATTGAAATGTCATGCAAGCCACAACATAAACAGGAGTATCTGGGGCATTGTAGTTAGTGCAGCTACATTCTAGCCCAGTTACAATCTTTCTCACCCAGAGGAAAGATTTTGGGGCAACATGATGCCCACCTAGGCTTTTACTGACTTAGATGTACTTAATTTGGGAACAAGGGTGTAATTCCCTATTTAGTTGGATAGGATGCCAACCTCTCCCCAACCTTGAGAAAAAGCTTGGTCAAAATCAGGGAGAACATGGTTTGCTCCATTTTAGGGGGGTAAAGGATTTCTCTGCTCACCCACTCCACCAAATTATGTACAAAACTACACCACCTGAGACATCAGGCTGCTGTGTGATTGGTGCTTGGATGGCAACCCAGCAGGGGCTCAGGAATTATTTCATCCTCACAGAGCAATCCAGTTGCATGAGGTTAGCATCACTACATCTGCTCATTGCCACTGATTCTGATACAATACTTTTATCAGTGTATGACAATGAGCTAAATATATATATTGCCTTTATCTACACCACCAACCAGTCATGCTATTACCACTCCTCATGTGGCTGCTCCAAAACAAGGCAAAACAAGGTGGGTAGGCCACATAAATGGTGTGCATGCAATAGCAGTCTTCAACAACACCTCCTGTAGGTCATTTATTGGTTTTGATATTGCTTTTTTGGACTATTGATTTTGTAAAGAATATTGGTTGGCAAAACCCAACTAAAACAACAGGTAGATCTCAAAAAATGTAAATAATCTTAAATACACGAGGAAAAGTTATGCTCAACAGAGAACAAGAAACCCTGCTTTAGCTTTATACTCATATTATGATTCTGTGAGGATGCTCTGTGGATCGATTAAAAGATTTCATACTTTTGTTTGATGACCCCTTTATGCATGTTCGTCATGTATTCAGCTCAGATTTCTTGGTGGAGAATATGCCTTCTCCCCAATGCTGAGTCCTCAAGAGCTGGAGACTGGCTGAGCCGTGGTTTTCCACGTGCCTGAGCGAGTGTTTGGGATGATGTTTGACATCACCATTATATGTTCTACACAATATCCATTTTTGATAGTTTCCAATAAAACTTCAATGGAAATGTGCTTTAAAAAGCACAAAAAATAACTTATTCATCAATGATGTATGATTCATTCAACTTATATTTAGAGGTACATGTAAGGTTTACACCATATACTTTCATATCAATTTTTCTTGTGTTAGAATGATGTCTGCGTGCAATCCAGAAACATTGAATCATGCGAGATATTCTCTGCGCTTTTCCCTGGTCCATCAAGAGATGCTGTTGTTTTGGGTGTGGGCTTGGGCCCGGTGTGTGAGCGTGTTCTTGTCATTGGATGGCAGGTGAGTTAAACACGTGCTGGTGAGCGGCAACAGACCTGGCACTGCATGCATTGCAAGAAAAGATTGTGTGATATGGTAGAGATTTGACTGTAACCCACAGACAGTATCCCTCATTCAGTCGTGAGTGTGGCGCGTGATGCTGCCAAAGTTGCAGGAACAGCTTGCCTCCATCTGATGTCCCTCTCAGAGAACAACTTTTTACATTCTTTCCTGTGTATATTTGTGGAGAGCAAATTGTATTGGGGCTAAAAGCACCAAGAAACACCCAAGTTTCAGACACTATTATGGGATGTGCAGTCACTCAGCCCCTGGACTCTGCTGCAAGGGATAATCTCTCAACTTATTAGAAGGAATTGATTGTCCTCCCAGCTAAATTGGGTTTGAGGTTGGTGTGACTGTCTACTTTCAAATCAAGAGTGTTCATATAAGGTGAGATTCAGGGTGAATATGAATCAGGGTGGGACTCCTCATTTAAGACATATGTTTATCAATATTCAACACCAATCTTAATTCTTAGTAAAATGTATAAATACACTCCAGCAGCCATTTCACCATCAGCTGCAGAGTGCTTTATGTACTCGATCAATTGAAACATTTGTATCACTCATGGATTGCATGCTTGCACACTTATACACAGTTACATTTGATGTTTCAGATATAATCAAAGTTAAGCCTCTGATGTAAGTGTTAAGCATAGTTCTGTAGGCATTGTTGCACATTGGCGGGTATCTTTTTATCATCTGGTGGTGGATGGGGTGAGTGGTTAAATATTTGGGAACAATTGTCTCTGTGCTTTTGATAAAATATATGAAATTTACTTTGGTGAGGCTGCCTAATGTAAAGTAGATCCCAGTGCAATCTTGTTTCATTGATATGTTGCAGTGTTTATGACCATGACAATGTTGATGCGACCTTTAATGGATTGCATGCATTATGGACATCTCAGTAAGGCTTCACTCCAAAACAAGCATCAGGTTTTCAATGTTTTAGCCAGCTAGTAGTGCAGTGTTCCCTTGCATCATGGAGTCATGCCGGAAATCACACATTTTAAGATTCTCTGCTGATTATGCTTCTTTCTCACAAGTCTTCAGTTATGCTAGAGATAATGGAGCATGTATTATTTAAGAAGCATGAAAATGAGGTTGTTAATTATTCTGTTCCTCTTTCAGTCCAAGATTCCAGTCTTCGTCAACCGGCTGACGTCATTGGAATCTGTCATACCGTATGACTACAGCTAGTAAGTACCTACATGCCTGGGAATGGAAGGTATCAGCCCTTGTCACCAGGTCTTTTTAATGTGTTGCCAGCCATGGCCCCCACCAGTCATGTATTAGAGAACCACTAATATTGTTTGGTATATCACACAAATGTATATTTAATGATCAAACTGTATTTGTTTTCCACAGCTTTGACTTTTGTGAACCTAAGGAGAAGTCAGCACCACCCCCGGTCGAGAACCTTGGCCAGGTGGTCTTCGGCCAGCGCATACAGTCCTCACCATATGAGGTTTGTTTGGTCACTGATCATCAAATGGTCAGCATTAAGGGCATTGCAAGGAGTTTGCAGTGCACAAATGCACTACTCCCACTTGGCCCATCCTGGCTTGTATTTGTTGACCTTCATTGCACGTTGACTGAGGTTTGATTTTCAGAGCCTAAAATTAGCTGTGAGTTTTGAATGATCAAATCATTGAAATGGAAGGACAACATGCTGTGTATGAACATCTCACTGGTTCATATCAGTACCACTGTTTCTGTTGATTTTCTGAGCCTCATGCTGTTGTTGGCATCTGGTTCCAGTTTTTGTTTGAGCCAGCTGGCCGGACGCCGCAGACGTGCGTCAAGGTGTGTGAACGTTCCTACAACAGCGGCGACGACAAGAACAATGGCAAGCTGACCAACCTGAAGCGGGCCATTTTCCTCGACTACCAGCACCACTTCATAGTCGGTGGGTAATCAGGCTGTGAGACAGTGTGCCCCCCCCCCCCCCTCTGGCAGTGTGCTACATGACCCTGCCATCTTGACACCAGCCCCAACATCCCTGTCCCTGATGGCTGCTGACTAACCACTTGTGTCCCTGGTGTGTTTACACCCTTTGTCCCGCTGTGCACTGATGTGATCGCCCATTATGATATCCACTGACGCAGTTTTATGGTAGGATTGAGGCAATGTTTTAGGATCTTAGATGGTCCTTCCCAGTTAACTCAGTTGGTTGAGCTTTTGGCTCAATCGAGAAGACCCTGGTTCGAATCTCAGCAATTACAGGGAGAGAATTTGAGTTGTAACACATGCCTGGCTGACAGCCAAGCATGATCCAGTTCTTCTCAGGATTTCTGTTGGCTCAAACACCTGATGACCAGAGAGTTTATTGGTCTAAACGTTGTGTGCAAACTAAAACACTAGATAGGGATGATGGTCAGAACAATTGTTCCATGCATGATCCACCAACACCTTGCTGTCCTCTTCCTTATCTTCGCTGACATGACTCCCCTGGCAGTCCGTCAGCTGACACGGCACCCCCTGTCCCTGATGTTCGCTGGCACGACTCCCCTGACAGTGTGTTCGCTTCCACGACACCCCCTGTCTCCGATATTCGCTTCCACGACACCCCCTGTCTCCGATATTCGCGGACATGACTCCCCTGACAGTGCATCGGCTGGCACGGCACTCCCTGTCCCTGATGTTGCCAGACATGACTCCCCTGGTAGTGTGTCTGCTGGCAACTGCTGGCGCCACACCCTCCCGCCACGGAGATCCGAAGGCAGAACACCTGCACTGATGTTGCCAGACATGATTCCCCTGGTAGTGTGTCTGCTGGCAACTGCTGACGCGACACCCTCCCGCCACGGAGATCCGAAGGCAGAACACCTGCAAGTCTGGCAGAACTAACTGAAACAGCTTTTGCCAGCCAGTTTCAGCTAGGCAAAACCAGCTGACAGAAGCTTCTGTTGGAAAGCTAACAGAAACTGGAAAAGCTCAGTCTAGGAAAATATATTTTCAAAATTTTGAAAGTGGTACAATACTAGTACTAATATAGTACGGATCATACTTTAGTGAAATGTGATTTCACTGACAGAATAATGGCAGTATCTCGATTGATTGACAGTAGCACATGGTAGGTGTAGTCAGTTTAATTGGTGTGTTGATGACAGCCTTGTAGGTAAGTGGCCAAAATTATGACCAAGAATGCATTTACTCTCAATAAAGTAACAAACATAAGCCTCTTAAAATCTCTAAGTAACATACATATGTTTTTACTGCACAATGGGTTTAGTGTCATTTATTGTGAATACAAGTAACCACAGGATGATTTTGCATAATTCATGGTTATTTGTGCAGCAAATTTATAGCACCAAGCTGGATTTGTTCTAGAGTGATTGAACCAGATTTTACAATGTTCATCTTTGTTGGTATAATTTGATGTGCATATGTGAATTGTTGCGCGAATAAATTCATGGGTCATAGTGTTAGGATATGCCAGTCGATGTGTGTAAACTGACTGCGCTCTCATGCACAAACCATGGGACTACCCAGTTTGGGGCTTTGTTGGTCTCAAGGTCGTCTAGAGGTTGGTCTCACTCTACGGACCCGCCTATAGGTTGATAGGTTTGCCACCTAGCAACGGAGAAGTGGCCAGCGTTGCCTTTGTACTTTGTACTACGTATCTTTGTAACTACCTGTTCATTTTGACCAATATCCATTCTAAGTATTAGTAATTTTTAGGATGTTTTGGTTCATGATCACAAAAGTGTAAATGAATGCGAATTCATCGGTGTATCCCATTAATACTGTCAAGCCGGAATTAACGACAGCTCGTGGCCTGTTCATATTCACGACATGTAGACTCCGATGTACTGATGTAAGTCGTTGACGTCGGTGACCAAAGGTGTCTGGCGTTACTAGCATTCCTTTTGGTGTCATCTAAATAACTGACTACGGTCACGAATCTATTATCGCCCCCCCCCCCCCCTCCTCCTCCTCCCCCCACCCCTAGTTGCACGCCGCACGGGGCGGTTTTCTGGTTCTGTGGGTACGGCATGCGAATTTTCTCGAGTAACTCCGGTCAGATGTCATTATGTCATTGCCATTATTGTGTCTCAATGTCAAATGCCATTATTATGTCTCAAATTTAGGTTTCCCAGTGTGAATGCTGTCTGTCAGAATGAAATGGCACTCCGGCATCGGTATGCTTTCGCTGGAGGAGGAGCTGTTTTGTCTGCATTGTTCGAACATTGCAATGTCATCATTTGTCAGCAACTGTGTTGTCATTTCTTATTTGAAATTTTCGAGACGATCCCCACCGATTCGGAAAACTGTTCGGACACAAGTCGTACGGGCTCTGTCGTGATTGGTTAGGAGCGAGGCTTTTGTAAAGCCGAGAAGACGGACTGTGGGTTTGCAAGTCATTGACAGCTGGTTCAATGAATGCAGCTGTAACGGCTGGTCCAAAACCCTTACCGCTCGATGGAGGAATGAACTGACTACCATGTGGGCAAAATGGTAAACCAGTCGCCTTCGTGTCATTTTGAAGGGTTGGCTTCGGGTTCAGTTTCGACTTTGTGATACTTTAAACATATTGCTGCAGTTTCAGCTTTAGTTCGAACAAGTTTATATTTATGACTCAGACTTTGCTAACATACTCTCTTGGACCGTAGATTGAGCCTCGTCCGGGTGATTCTCACCGCAGCTGGGGCGTAACTCCATAAAACAGCCCTGCCCTTCATGCTACCTCAGTAAACCCCGTGACTTGTCGGGGCTGCGACGCATGCGTGCTTGCAAGACCAAAACCAGCCGCTCATTCTTATGGCCGCTGGACGACGGCCGGAGAGCTCTGTCCGAAATGTTGTGCGCATGCTAACACACAAGACGAGCGCAACAGTCCGGAAAAGATCGCATCCCAGTGCTGGTGCCTGTTCTCAATCGCTCCGTACTACCGTTAAATTTTCTGATCTCATACCGTTGAGGCAGATGCGAGAATAGTTTTGTTGCGCAAAAAAAACGTTGTTTAGTAGTTTGGCTTCGGTTTCGGCCTCACGATTTTGAACTGACTGGTTTGGCTTTGCCTTTGTATTTCTTTAAATTGAAGCCACTGTCTTCGGTTTTGGCTCTGCAGTTTTGAACTTCGAAGCTATCTGCTTCGACTAAGACTTCAGCGTGGTGTCGCTGTCTTGACTTTGGATTTGGCTGCGAAGCCAAATCCCTGACGCCCCCCCCCCTCCCCCCTCCCGTGCATCACCCTGACGGCATGCCGGTATCCCTGCCCTCTGGGCGCATCACACGTCTGTCACTGATCCCTGAAACGTGAACCCTACACCCTGCATACCGGTATCCCTACCCTCTGGGCGCATCACACGTCTGTCACTGATCCTGGAAACGTGAACCCTACACCCTGCACAACCTCTTCTGGCGAATCTTGAACTGAAGAAGTTATTTGTTTGCATTGGCTATATCTCACGTATCTTGTAGTGGTCGTCTAGTGGGACTGGTGCGGTGTTACGGTGCCGCACAATGCCAATGCCGCGGTGGTGTGGCGGGCTGTACACTGCACGGTGTGGCCAGCGCTGGGGTCGTGTGGCCGCGTGCCCGTGCGGGGGGCTCGTGCTGACCGCGCTGCCCTGGCCGCCAGACAACATGCCCGTGACGCTGTGCTACATGACCGACCCGGGCGAGCGCAGCTGCAACAACGGCTTCCCCGTCGGCTGTTACGTGGACGCCCAGAACCGGGCCAAGCCCTCCTGCTATCTCGGTGTAAGCGGCCGCTCCAGCGCCGGGACCATTACGGAGAGGTGTGGCGGGCAGAGGGCTTCAGAGCCAGTGCTTGTGCCAAGACCGTGCTAGGTGCCTGAAATCGTGGCCTTGGGATGTGGCCACGAAAGCTCATGACCCTACCTGTCCCGGCTTGCCTTATGGTGGCGTATGTACGGGGATTGGCGTCACTTTGGCCTCGTCGGCGCTGCCAAAGTATCCTTAAGGTAAAAACGAAACATAGCCGTGGACAGCCATCACCAGTACCTTGTTGACATCCGTTTCCACACGAATGACTTGCCATTTCGCACCCTGGGTAGAGAGCGTTGTGTTTGATCCCTGCGAGTGCTGAACGTGCATGTCTGCAGCTAGTCCTCTGTCCACAGAGCAACTTGGCCCACAAGAGTGACGTTTATTACGTCTACAACCACCTGGATTTCAACATCACCTACCACAGTGGCGTGAACGAGGCTTGGGGCAGCTCTTTTCAAGGCAATGGTGCGTTTTGTAGTTGTATGGATATTTGCATCACGGACTGTCTTGTGACAACGACATGCCAATGTATTGCCAGCATTTACTAGTGTTTGGTCGATCACTTACGTGTTTTGAGTTTATGGTCTTCTCTCCCATGACCTATCCGCGTGTAGTCGCAAAACATCCGAGCAGAGATCGCAGCAGCACTGGTGTGGCTGGTCGGCGTGTCGTGCGGCGTCCCTGACGGCGCGCCGCGTGTCTGGTGCCGGCTCCGTGCGCTGACGGCGCGCCCTTGCGGTCGCAGGTGGCCGCATCATCCGCGTGCAGGTGACGCCGCGCTCCATCCAGCACCCGGCTGACGGCGTGCGCTGCGACGGCCCGCAGCCTGCTATGGAGATCAGCGGCCGCGACCAGTTGGCCGGCGGCGCCGTCCGCGTCCAGTACACGTACTCCGTCACATTCCACGTGAGCCGAGCTCGCCGTCCGCACGCTTCGGACCCGCCTGGTGTTCTGGGACCCTCGTCAGGATCCTAGCACCTTTCGCGTCTGTTAGGACTCTTGTCAAGGTCCAGCACACCTACTTTGTTGTCTTCCATGTGAGTCGGACCCTCTTTCAGAATCCGGCACTCGTACTCCGTCACCTTGGACGAGGACCGGGCTCGTCATTAAGGACTAGTAGAACCGTTTTGTCGCCTTTCATGTGTCAGTTGGCCGCCTGGTTATAATCCAGTACACCCGCGCCGTCATCTTCCGCGTGACTCGACTGATCGCGCCCGTCTGCCGGGCTCCAGTAGGCAGTGCTTGTCTCGTACCCGCTGGTAGACCGCGCCACTGACCGCGCCTGTGCCCTTTCTCTCAGGAGACTCACGATCTCAAGTGGTCGTCGCGCTGGGATTACCTGCTGGACTCGCTGCCGAACGCTAACATCCAGTGGTTTTCCATCCTTAACTCGCTGGTGATCGTGCTCTTCCTCTCCGGCATGGTGGCCATGATCATGCTGCGTACGCTGCACAAGGACATTGCTCGCTACAACCAGGTGCGTAGCCGGCCAGCAGGCGCTACGCACCTGGCTCGCTGGCCGCGTGTAGCAGGGCTGTCGGGCATCACGGGTTTGGCAGCTAGGTTCATGTGCGTAGGTCGGCTGGATCAGAATCCGGCTGCCTGTGCGGGGTGACAGCCGTCCCTTGCCGTGGTTGGGGAGCAACAGCCGTCCCGGGCCGTGGTTGGAGAGTGACAGCCGTCTCTGGCCGTGCTTGGGGAGTGACAGCCGTCCCTGGCCGTGTTTGGGGAGTGACAGCCATCCCCGGCCGTGTTTGGGGAGTGACAGCCATCCCCGGCCGTGTTTGGGGAGTGACAGCCGTCCCTGGCCGTGTTTGGGGAGTGACAGCCATCCCCGGCCGTGTTTGGGGAGTGACAGCCGTCCCTGGCCGTGTTTGGGGAGTGACAGCCATCCCCGGCCGTGTTTGGGGAGTGACAGCCATCCCCGGCCGGCGCTGGGAGTGACAGCCGTCCCCGTCCGGGGCTGGGGAGTGACAACCATCCCCGGCCGGAGCTGGGAGTGACAGCCGTCCCTGGCCGTGTTTGGGGAGTGACAGCCGTCCCTGGCCGTGGTTGGAGAGTGACAGCCGTCCCTGGCCGTGCTTGGGGAGTGACAGCCGTCCCTGGCCGTGTTTGGGGAGTGACAGCCGTCCCCGTCCGGGGCTGGGGAGTGACAGCCGTCCCCGTCCGGGGCTGGGAGGTGACAGCCGTCCCCGGCCAGAGCTGGGAGGTGACAGCCGTCCCTGGCCGTGGTTGGAGAGTGACAACCGTCCCTGGCCGTGTTTGGGGAGTGACAGCCGTCCCCGTCCGGGGCTGGGGAGTGACAGCCGTCCCCGTCCGGGGCTGGGAGGTGACAGCCGTCCCCGACCGGAGCTGGGGAATGACAGCCGTCCCCGGCCGGGGCTGGAAGGTGACAACCGTTCCTGGCCGTGTTTGGGGAGTGACAGCCGTCCCTGGCCGTGGTTGAGGAGTGACAGCCGTCCCCGGCCGGGACTGGAAGGTGACAGCCGTCCCTGGCCGTGTTTGGGGAGTGACAGCCGTCCCCGTCCGGGGCTGGGGAGTGACAGCCGTCCCCGTCCGGGGCTGGGAGGTGACAGCCGTCCCCGGCCAGAGCTGGGAGGTGACAGCCGTCCCTGGCCGTGGTTGGAGAGTGACAACCGTCCCTGGCCGTGTCTGGGGAGTGACAGCCGTCCCCGTCCGGGGCTGGGGAGTGACAGCCGTCCCCGTCCGGGGCTGGGAGGTGACAGCTGTCCCCGACCGGAGCTGGGGAGTGACAGCCGTCCCCGGCCGGGGCTGGAAGGTGACAACCGTTCCTGGCCGTGTTTGGGGAGTGACAGCCGTCCCTGGCCGTGGTTGAGGAGTGACAGCCGTCCCCGGCCGGGACTGGAAGGTGACAGCCGTCCCTGGCCGTGTTTGGGGAGTGACAGCCGTCCCCGTCCGGGGCTGGGAGTGACAGCCGTCCCCGGCCGGAGCTGGGGAGTGACAGTCGTCCCCGTCCGGGACTGGGAGTGACAGCCGTCCCCGGCCGGAGCTGGGGAGTGACAGCCGTCCCCGTCCGGGGCTGGGAGTGACAGCCGTCCCCGGCCGGAGCTGGGGAGTGACAGCCGTCCCCGACCGGGGCTGGGAGTGACAGCCGTCCCTGGCCGTGTTTGGAGAGTGACAGCCGTCCCCGTCCGGGGCTGGGAGTGACAGCCGTCCCCGGCCGGAGCTGGGGAGTGACAGCCGTCCCCGGCCGGAGCTGGGAGGTGACGCCCGCTCCTGACCGTGGCTGGGAGTGACGGTCGGCGGGCTACCCGTCAGATCGAGTCGGGCGACGACTCTCAGGAGGAGTTTGGCTGGAAACTGGTGCACGGCGACGTGTTCCGACCGCCCCGACACGGCATGCTGCTCTCCGTTCTGGTCGGCTCCGGTGTCCAGGTGCTCTCCATGATGCTCATCACACTCGGTGGGTGACTGGCGGCAGCTGTGGTGGCCCCCGCGCCTCAGCCGTGTTCGGGCCAGCCTTGCGTTGATGGCTGTCCGTGTCATGGTTGACACGGCAGTGACGCTGTCCTCACACCTGGTGCTCTTTCAACGTGTGGTATTGATAGTTGGACTGTGCAGCGCTCGTCGTTGGAAGGGAACTGCTGGGATATGGTGGTCCGTGCTAAGGGCTGAATGGGGTACCTGGACGTATTGTTACTCCTAAAGCTGTTTTATTTTTTAAGAAAGTGGATGCATCGTGTAATGATGCGGACACATGCCTTTCACCGTATGCTGAAAATTCATTCAAGAAATTTACAGCTACTGTATAATTCACTCAACTACGTCTTGTGCTGCCTGTGTTGCGCCGCTGACCTGTACCAGCACCGGCGCTGGCTCCTGACTGCCTGCACCAGTGTCGGCGCTGACCACTTACTGTCCATATTAGCGATTGTGTTGACCTCTGACGTGCTGCTGCAGTGTTCGCGTGCCTGGGCTTCTTGTCGCCGGCGAACCGCGGCTCGCTGATGACCTGTGGCCTCGTCCTGTACGTCTGCCTGGGCACGCCCGCCGGCTACGTGGCCGCCAGGATCTACAAGTCGTTTGGCGGCGAGAAGTGGGGACTTAACGTGCTGCTGACGTCGACGCTGTGCCCGGGGTGAGCCGCGCCCGGCTGCCGCCCCGCTGCCGGTGTCGGGCCGCCGCTCTGCGGACAGTGTGCGCCGGCGCGGACGAGTCAGCTCCGGGCCGCGCCCACCCGCCGCGCTGGCACAGAATCTGCACCTCTCATGTGCATCCTATGTGCGGTTTCGGTGTCGCTGTAGATTTAGGACTTGGTGGAAACAGTCACGGGTGTGGAATGCATCAGGCTTGGAAAATTGTTACGTCGCATTGGCTGATGACGCGTTGCGTGCGGCAGGCTGTGCCGCTGAGGCCTGCTCCCAATCGCCGTGGAGTGGATGACTGCGGCCAACGTAATCGTTATTGACAATGCCTGTGTCCCGTAGAAGAGAAGTCACTGTGCCCAGGGGTTGGCTGAGACGTTCGCTCCGCTAGATGTTGTGGCTGTCGTGAGTGGGATCGGACCGCTGAGGAGTGTGTCGGCGGTGCTTCCGCTGAGCCCCCGCCCACCGCCCGTCCGCAGGATCGTGTTCAGTATCACCCTGCTGCTCAACTTCGTGCTGTGGGCGCACGGCTCGTCGGCGGCACTGCCTTTCCTCACTATACTGGCGCTGATCGGGCTTTGGTTCGGTGTGTCCGTGCCGCTTACCTTCGTTGGCGCCTACTTCGGCTTCAAGAAGCGCGTGCTGGAACATCCGGTGAGCGCTGGGCGCGGACGGAGGGCGGCCGCGCGGCACCACCGGCGGCTGCTCTCGGGCGCTGGGCGCGGATTGAGGGAGGCCGCGCGGCGCCACCGGCGGCTGCTCTCGGGCGCGCTTCGTGGCTTGGCTGCGGCAGGGGCGCACTGAATGCTCCAGCACTGCAGAACATGTGTCATCTGTTAACACAGCAATGTATAGTCATGGGTGGGACTATCTGTTGTGTTCAGGATAGTGGCTGGTTGTCAGAAGCAGTTGGCAGGCCTGTGATCATGTAAAATGCGGTATTCAACTAAATTTGGCATCGTCGCTTTCTGAGAGAAATCATCAAGGAAGCACCCACGTCAGCTCGGATTTTATTTTCCCAGAAGGAGCAGGAAATTATTATTACAATAAGTGCCATTTGAACCCTCAAGAGGTTATCGTGAACACCTTAAGTGCTACCCTCTTGGCGTTTCGTCTTCGACTATAATACTATGGTACAAATGCTCAGGGTGCTAAGACCGAATCTTCGCAGAATTATTGCAGCTAAAACGGAAGTAGCCAAAAGAAAGATATCGAATGTACGAGGAGAGCGCATCGCAGCTGTCGACACATTTAACGGAATATGTTTTTGGGTATGTCCAGTCCGTTTAGGTACGTCACAGTGTGCGGTTAACGGCAGACTGTGCATTGTGAACAAAATACCCTTGCTTGTCTTGTGGGGCTCTCGGGTCACAGAACGTCCCGTGTTTGTGCGGAGCGCAGCGGCCGCTCAGCATGGTCGTGCTGGTGTACTGACGAATGCCCGCCGCCAGGTCCGCACCAACCAGATCCCGCGCCAGATCCCCGAGCAGAGTATCTACACGCGCCCGGTGCCGTGCGTGCTGATGGGCGGAATTCTGCCCTTCGGCTGCATCTTCGTCCAGCTGTTCTTCATCCTCAGCTCCATCTGGTGAGCGGCCTCTGCCATGGCTCTGGGACTGCGCGTGCTCCCCTCCCCCCCCCCCCCCCCCCACACACATGGCACTGGGACTGCGTGTGAAGCCCCCTCCCCCCCCCCCCCCGTGGCTTGCCTCGGCCATCTGCAGGTGTGCGGCAGAACGGCATAAACACGCTGCAGTAGATCAGTATCCCTTAAGGCAGCGTCATAGTACCGAAATGGTGTGGTTGTGTAATGTCAAAACGATGTAGTTGTTGCATCTGTAATGACTGCTATGGCGTCAATATCTGTGCAAGGGGACAGAGTTTTGTCGCAGCCTGGGACTGGTGCGTCAAAAACTGCATCAACAATGTGGGCCCGATGTCGCCATCGAGCGCCCTTACCGCGGGTGTCTTATTTATTTGTGTTGGATTGCCGTCATGCGTAGGGGGAAGACCGCTGTACAAACATTCACTGATGTAACTCAGAGATCTGGCTAAGCTCCGATTCCCTCTTTTTCTCCGTGGGGTGCGTCAGGCTGCTAGCCTGCTTTACTGAAAATTAGTGAGCACACCGGGAACAGTCCGGAAGGCATGCCAGAAGCTAGGGGCGGGCTGTTCTCGTGACCTTTCCTAGAAACCCAAGTCCAGCCGCATATCGCTCATGGTGCTCGGTGGTCACACACAACAGAGGTTGTGTTACTGGGGGATTACATCAGGATAACACCTAAAGTATCGTAGCATTGATGCACAAACTACGATTAGTTGGGCATGAGCACGCAGAGTTAACATGTACGATGCGGAACGTGGTAGACAGTTATGAGCGTTCGTTGGTTTTGCAAAAGAGGTGGCGAATTTTAGCATGCCAACGCCAGCGTCCATGGTGAGCGGCAGCGTGTCGTCGCGCATCATGCGATTGCCGCCCCTTCCTAGCGCAGTGGAGAGGACAGAACCACGCCACTGCACGGCACTCTTCCACGCGCAGGCTCCAAGCGTAGAAATACACGATTGGTGATCCTGTCGTCTGTCAGCAGGGGCACCGCACAATCGAAATCGGTGCTTATGCGGGTCTAAACGAATCCCATGTTTCTGTACAGAAACCCGACAACGCTTAAACGAGCATTATAACGAAAAATTTGAATGATTTGATATCGCAGCTTATGGGACAAGGAAGGCAGGAGGAGCTACTGGTACTGTTCCTCACGGGGACCGTCCTTAGTACTTCGTGACATGAGAACTTTGGTTGTGCAATCTGTTGGTAGTCTGTTTAGAGGCATTTCCTCTCCGCAGGTCCAGCCAGATGTACTACATGTTCGGCTTCCTGTTCCTGGTGTTCGTCATCTTGGTCATCACGTGCTCTGAGACCACCATCCTGCTCTGCTACTTCCACCTGTGCGCTGAGGTCGGTCAGGATCAGGTCGTCTGCTCGTGGGAGTCGCGGAGGGGATGGGAGAGGAGAGTGTGTTTTTCATGACCAGCTGTTAGAGCTATGTGTCATGACCAGGAAGGCAGTGGGGAAGCGTCCTACGTGAGGGTGATTCGTATTGGGTGAGATTGCTGGCTGCTGTGCAGTGGATTCTGTGTTATGGCCAGTGGTACGACTGAGGAGCGTTTGCGGCCTGTCGTTTGTATAGTGTTTGTGCATTTTCGGACCGATGGTCTGTGCGTTGGAAGGGGGCACAGTCCGATATGTCAGCCGTGCAGTGTGAAGTGTCATATTGCTGACGGTGGCCCATCCAGCTGCTGTCGGCGGCCTATCCGGCTGCCGTCGGCGGCCTGTCCGGCTGCTGTCGGCGGCCTGTCCAGCTGCCGTCGGCGGCCTGTCCGGCTGCTCTCGGTGGCCTGTCCAGCTGCTGACGGTGGCCTGTCCAGCTGCTGACGGTGGCCTGTCCAGCTGCTGTCGGCGGCCTGTCCGGCTGCTGTCGGCGGCCTGTCCAGCTGCTGACGGTGGCCTGTCCAGCTGCTGACGGTGGCCTGTCCAGCTGCTGTCGGCGGCCTGTCCGGCTGCTGTCGGCGGCCTGTCTGGCTGCTCTCGGTAGCCTGTCCAGCTGCTGACGGTGGCCTGTCCGGCTGCTGACGGTGGCCTGTCCAGCTGCCATCGGCGGCCTGTCCAGCTGCCATCGGTGGCCTGTCCAGCTGCTGTCGGTGGCCTGTCCGACTGTTGACGGCGGCCTGTCCAGCACCTGACGGTGGCCTGTCCGGCTGCTGACGGTGGCCTGTCCGGCTGCTGTCGGCGGCCTGTCCAGCTGCTGTCGGCGGCCTGTCCGGCTCTTGACGGCGGCCTGTCCAGCTGCCATCGGCGGCCTGTCTGGCTGCTGTGGGTGCCCTGTCCGGCCGATGTCGGCAGCCTGTCCAGACTGTTGTCGTTGGTCTGTTGTTCCGGCAGGGCTGCCGTCGGAGGATTATTGTTTTGACGTGGCCAGGGTGTGCTGTGTTACAGGACTACCACTGGTGGTGGCGCAGCTTCATGACCTCGGGTTTCACCGCATTCTACCTGTTCATCTACTGCTGCCACTATTTCGCCACCAAGCTCAGCATCGTGGACCCCACCTCTATCTTCCTGTACTTCGGCTACACGGCCATCATGGTGTTCCTGTTCTTCATCATGACCGGTGCGTGGTGCTGCCCGGCGTGGTGGCAACCTCCGTTGTCTACCACTGCTGCAGCACGGTGATTGTAAATTCAGCTCGGGAGGTAGCAGTGTAAGGAACTAGCGCTATCGGCCAGGCCGCCACTGCGACTCCAGCTCCAGCGTGATTGGCTGCTGGCCAGCCGACATTTGGCCACAGTGGCTCAGTCATTAGACCGGGTAGAACTTAAGACGTTTATGGAGATGACAGGGGTTCTGATGAACATCAAGGACCAATGCCAAGCGCTGGAGAAACTAGGCGAACAGAGTGGCACCCATGTGCGGTTTGCCCGCACGTTTATAGGCGGATTAAGCGAGTTGCTGGCAATATCACCTTTTTACTGGACATTGAACGCATCTGTCGCGTAGCAATAAAGCCGGCTGAATGTCTATGATACTTGGGAAGAATTCAGCAGCTTTTTAGATCAGTTACTGGGAAACGATGCGTAAGCTGACTGCTAACAAAAACCATCGTGGGTAGAATGCTTCCCTCCCGGCTGCCACTTTTTGAAACATTTGAGTGTTTCTGGGTGAGCCTTGGTTCGAATGAGCAATTTAGTAGTTTTCTGTGTATCGTTTAGCGTGGACATTGTTCCCTACACGCAGTGACTTATGACACTAATCAGACGTGCGCGGCGTGCGCTGTTGCGTGCCTCACGGGTGCGGCGCCTGCTCCTGGGGCGTGGCGTCCTCCGGTGCTGTGGTGGTAGCGTAGTAACGCCTTGTGGCCCTGTTTGCCTAGGCACCATCGGCTACCTGGCCTGCTTCTGGTTCGTGCGCAAGATTTACAGCGTGGTGAAGGTCGACTGAGGAGTCGGTCGTCGCCGTACGCCCGGCGCCGCCAACAGCACGCCAGCTCCCCCTCCCGACTGGCCGTGATCCGGTCGGCCGGCTCGGCGCGGCGCGGCGCGGTGTGGCGCGCTCGCCGCCGGGTCGGCGCTATTTATTGGTTACGGACTGCGCTGGCCGGCGGCGGCGGCGGCCAGAGGATGAGGCCGGCCCTCCCCGGCTCCCGTACGCGGCGTGCCTTGGCGATCGGCGGCGAGTCTGTGCCGTGCGCAGGTGGTCGGTGGCGGTTGTGGCTGCGTCCGGGCCGCGTGCTGGCTGCGGGCGGCCTTCTCGCCCCGGTGCGCGCGTGCCCCGTGCGCCAGGGCTGTGTGCGACGACAGTGCTGGCGTGCGCCTGTGTGGTGTCTCGTCCAGTGAGTGTACGCGCTCAACACACAACTAATGACTAGACTGTGGTGCGCCTCTGCTTGGATGTGGTTACGGGAACTCTGTTCTGCGTTCATTGTCATGCTTGTGCTGTTTGGCGCACATTTGTGTGATCGCCACGACACTTTTAACCACACTGTCAAATACTTTGTGTCGTTTGTTCGGGCATTTCCTGACTGTGAATGGAATACGGCCATGTGTGCAAATCTGCAGCCCAGTAAAAGCACGGACGTGTGGATGATCGTCAAATTATCTTAGTTGTCGATATGGACCATTGAAGTCGTGTTGTGTGCATTAGGGCACTCTTCCGCCTGGTGATTCGTGCATTGCTGACCATTTCACTCTTGGCGCCGGCTGTGGGTGACGTGAGCCCCTGGGCTTGGTCGGTAGGGCGGGGCCTCGCCGCCTGCTGTGGGCTCGGGCCCGGTCGGTTGTGGGCGTCGGCCCAAGTACGGGCCCTCAGCGGCGCCTCGCCGCCTGCTGTGGGCTCGGGCCCGGTCGGCCCAAGCTCGGGCCCTCAGCGGCGGTCTCGTGCTGGCATCCCCTTACAGTGCGACCGAAATGAGATGGTGTCGTTTTGTTACGCCTTACAGATTGATTTTGTTGTAGTGCACTATTCAGGGGAGAATAAATATACCATAAACCAGGCGTCTGATGTGTTTTGTGTTTAACCGAAGATCATGTGCCTACAGCTCATTGTCCACCACAGAGTCGGCGCTGCCCAAAGCCCGCTGAGACACGTCGACAGCGATCGGTGAACATGTCGGCCGCGACCGTTTCCGCCGCGGGATGGTTTCGTAGCCGTGACGTATCATGGTCTCGGCGGCGGGCGTTTCGTTCCCCAAATGCGAGGTGTCTTGTTCGGTGGGCCTAGTTGTCGGCGAAACCAACGGCGATGTTCCCCCAAATGCGGGGTGCTTCGTTCGGTGGGCCTATTGTTGGCGAAGCCAGCAGAGAGTTCTCGCCAAATTATTTAAGGTCATGAGAATGGCCAGACGTAGCCATGAAGATGGCCCAATGGAGCGCTTCTGTTCATTTCCTCCAAATCCTAGTCGGGGGGGGGGGGGGGCGCCGAGAACTGAGCTTGCCTCTTCCACCCTGGTCGGCCCGTGTCCCGGCTCATAGTCAGGATGCTTGGTTAGCCCCTGTGAACCGAGCTTAACTCGTACCCGGCGGCTCCCGCAGCGACTCTTTTGGCGATCAAGTCTGCGGACAGCGCCCTGGTATCATCCCTGGCGGTGTCTCCCATTGAAGCGGCCCGTTCCCCTGTTGGGCCCTGCGGTGGGCGAGGAGCCAGCGCGCCGAATCATGAAGCAAACTGATAGTAAATCGACACAACGGCCTCAACCATACTGGCGTGACTGAACCGCTGCTGCAGTTCTTGATTGCTCGTTCTACCAAACTTGACGAGGAAGGAAAACTTACACCATTGAAGATGAGCTCTTTTCAACGCTCGCGCACGGGCACCGGGATTGACCGGTGTAGGGGAGTAGTGCCCCCTCGGATCCCAGCTCCGACAGCGGGTGGACAGCGCAAGCTGTTCATTTCAGGGTCTATCAAACCTGCTGGTACGTGAACACCTGCTCTTTGTGCTGCGCGCCGCGCTCCTTGTGCCGCGCGCCGCTTTACCATCGCCCGCATTTCTGCGCCCGGCCCTCTCACCACTCCTCATTCTTGCTTTATCGGGGTCGCCATGCCCCTCGCCCGCGCCCCGGGTTGATCGGATCCTGGTGGCTGAGGGGCGCGTCGTACGGGTCAGTCACGGCGCGTCTCAACACTCGGCTCTGACCGGGACATCCGGGGGAATGGGGGGGGGGGGGAGGGCATGTGAAACCTCACACAGATATCGCGACTTGTCGCTCACACTTCGGCTGGGTGCTCTGTGCGGGTCTGCACTTGGGGCGCCTCGCCACGCGCGGAGGCTTAAGGGGTCAAGAGGTGGCGGCGCTGAACCACGGTCGGGGCGGGGAGGGGTCTTCCCGGTGAGACCTGGCCGTGTGAGAGGCGTCGTTCGTCCTGGGGTAGCCCTAGTACCGACACCGGTCACGCTAGCAACGGGTAGTCCTAGCGGTGACCACCCCCGGGGACTGTTGAACCGTCCCCAGTTAGGCTCCGAGGCGGGTGGAGACCCCCAGTGCTGAATGTAAATTATAACTCACCACCGAAAGCCACGAACAGCGACTCCTTCAACGTGGAAACATCAGCCCGAGTTGGAGACCCTAATAGCACCGAGTCTGCCTGACCTGCCTGCTCCGAGCACTCGAGTGACCCCTAACGGCACCGAGTCTGCCTCACCTGCCTGCTCCTAGCGCTCGAGTGACCTGCGTCGCGGAACTGACACCGGCGCACCACTGCCGCACCATCTGATATCACGAGAGCAAACCTGGATGTCGACGGGAAACCGAACCCACTGAAACTTCATCACACGTTGAGCGGGTTCCTCAGCGGCACACCAGTGACCGGCGGGGACAGATTTGACCACCTCCCCCCTGTTTATCTCAAGAACGACCAGGCCGAATTTCAAAATTCAAATTACAACCGATGGCGCCGTGGCGCGTGGTCTCAGACCACGCAACTAACGTAAGTTCAAGTGTGTATTGAGGTCAGAGGTTAAGCTCAAATTTAAGAATGTAGCTGGAACATATGACCGTTCCCTCAACGCCATTCATTTAGAAGCGCATCATAATGTATGAAATCATTGCGCCCTGCTTCAACATGCTACATAGGAGGGCATTCAATGCTGCACGCGCCGCACCAAGCCCGTAGCCAAGATCACGTGCCGTGCAAATAACGTTGGTCAATGTGGCTATCTTAGTTTGTTTATTTCTGTCATATTTGATCCACCTGAACACAAAGTGGGGGAGCTGAGCCGCAATCATGGATATCAGACTGGTGAGCAAGAGCTGTTACTTGTTCCTAAACCATCTAAGGTCCAGGTCAGATGGATGACTCCGGTGGTAAACAAGCGGTTAGATCGATTTTCGCGTCGTTGTCGATGGTTCAGCCCTGCCCACGGTGTAGCCTGATGCCTTCAACCCTGCCGCCAAGCACATGGTCGTCAGTTCGCAGGGGAAAACGGTAGCGGCTTCCGCCGCCGCGTCACCGCGCCGCCGCGGCAGGCCTGGCCCGGCCGCCCACCGTCACGGGGCCGGGCCCACCGGGGCAAGGGCCCGGGCCCACCGTCACGGGCCTGGCCCGGCCGCCCACGGTCACGGGGCCGGCCCCACCGTCACGGGCCTGGGCCCACCGTCACGGGCCTGGCCCGGGCCCACCGTCACGGGGCCGGGCCCACCTGGGCACGGGCCCGGGCCCCACCGTCTTGGGCCTGGCCCGGCCGCCCACCGTCACGGGGCCGGGCCCACCTGGGCACGGGCCCGGGCCCCACCGTCACGGGCCTGGGCCCACCGCCACGGGCCTGGGCAACATGAGCTGCAATGCAGCTCAAGATATTACTCAGCCATTGTTACATATGATTGATTGTAACTTGGTGCATGAATATTCGTGTTTAGGACACATTTTTTCATGTCTTCATAACCTTTAGGCTCCGTCCAAAAAAAAAATGCGGAGTGTACCTTTTATCAATGTTTTTGGCATTGGACATCCCAACATTTCATGTGCAACACTTAAACAATACAATGACAAGGTATGTGAATGATGGGCTAATTGGCTTACATTTCTCGCTTACAGATATAAAAAAGCTCTTTCGTTCCGCTTCTGCATCAGTTTGTCTCCGGTTATGCGCTTTTATAAAAAAATCGAAACACGTAACGTCGATCTGACGTCACTCACACTTGATCTATAATGTTCTCACAGGTGTTATTTTGACAGTGAACTTTGTGTTTGAACTTTTTAAATGGCAGCTATTAAAATGCTCCAGCCATATCTCAAGGCGTTTTTTAATTATCGCCAAATTGGTCAGGGGCGGATTTGACTCCCCTCCTCCCCCCCCCCCCCGATCAATGCCGGGTTAACCCTTCTAGTGCGAGCAGGCCATCCCAAAACTATGCACTTCAGAAAACTGTGCGGATGCGCACGCGGCACGATAAAGGCATTCATTACCAATGACATAGAAATCCAATGCGTGTTTGCAGGCTAGCAACTCACATTTCGGCTTAGAGGAAGAGGAGACACCAGCGTGCCGATCACCGTGGGACCGCACCCTGGAAATAACTCTGCGAAGGGAGCAATGCCACGCTGGGACCGTGGAGCAGTGTCTGAGGACAAGATACTCCATGGCCTAGAGAGACACGGGCTGGCTGCCGCCGGGGAATCCGGAGAAGCGCAGACAGAAAGCTTGTAGACACCGACGCAGACATCTCAACTTTCAACAGGCTGAATCTACCGTCGAAAGTGTACGTTGGGCATCACGCAATATCTGTGGATGTAAGGATGGAAGTGTCTGATCTTATCCGCTGCTTCAGGTGCCAGAGTTATGGAATGTCACTCACAGGTGTTAGAAGGAGGTAAGGCGCATGCGGCGCGCTTCAACTGAGCACCAGTCTATGAAATGCACCACTGAGGTCACGTACCACGCCAAGTGCGGAGAGCGTCTCGCCGGCTCTTGTAGGGCATGTCATGCTTCCTTGCGAATAGGGAAGTAATGACGATCAAGATCAAGGAGGGTGTCTCGTTCGGGGAGGCGAGGCGTAGGTTTAAGAAAGCACTCCCTAGGAGGAGTGACGGTGATGTCGCACGCGTGACCACGAAGCCGCTGTCGATGTCGTCAACTGCTGCCAACGTGTCTGTTGGCAGCAGTTGATAGCTCCTTGGCAGACGGCAGTTGCCCTTGGCTCCCTTGACCTAGATGCGTTCAAACACATGGCAGTCAGGGATTTCATACACCCGGTTGTGATAAACCTCAGCGGTTCCGTGGCTGCCTCTGCTGCTCCCAGTGCGAGGACTGCTCATGCGGCTGCGGCAGACTGCTTCGCACCCTCCGGGACGCCGGACGGGGTCCCCTTCTGTGTCAACGGCCGTCGGGAACCTGCGCCGGCCGGTCAAACGACAAAGCCCTTGTCGTCTGGCCCTAGTGAGGCAAAAGGGGGAGACCATCGGACCACAGTCTAGCGATGTCGGGGATCGCGCACCCCTGTGACCACCGTCGTGCCCACGGACACGACGGCACGCCGAAGTTCTGTCATTCCCCGACACGACCCGGCGCGAGCTCCCGCAACGAGTCCATCACCACAGCGAACATCCGTCCGGCCGGCGGCTCTGGACCTCTGGGCCGCCGCCCCGGGCGCGGTGAGAGTCTCTCGCTTGTGAGCCCTCCGGCATCGTCTGGACTGGCCGGACCCTCGCCGTTTGCCGCCGCCGGGCGTGCGAGGGCGGAGCCTGTGTACATTACCGTCTCCCTCTGCGGGCCGCGCCTCCAAGCACCCCACCCTGGCGGGTATCGCCGACAGAGGGTGGCAGCCCGAGGATCCGTTCGAGGAGCCACTCAGGTCCTGCCGAAGCTGAGGGATGCGAGGGTCACCGAGGATTTGTCCGAGCAGCCACTGAGGTCCTGCCGAAGCTGAGGGATGCGAGGGTCACCGAGGATCCGTCCGAGGAGCCACTTAGGTCCTGCCGAAGCTGAGGGGTGCGAGGGTCACCGAGGATCCGTCCGAGGAGCCACTCAGGTTCTGCCGAAGCTGAGGGGTGCGAGGGCCA